GAGGCACGCACACAGCCCAGAGACAAGAGCCTGCAAGTCAAGACTCCACTGATATTAATATGACAAGTACACTCATACGTAAACACAAACTCGTATCTCACACTTCCACGCCGTTTAAAACTTGACACTGAGCTCCGTTTGTCTCCGTGGCCTTTGCGTCTATTTCTCTAACGTGATTCTCGACTGTACATTGTTTGTTTTGTTATTTCATATTCAAGCCCTGATTCTTTGAGATCGGATAGGTGACTGTGTTAAGCATCTGTCCTTCATTTTGTCACAGAGTGAGGATACACAATCTTAAGATTTTTTAAACAATTAAGCCATATCTCTAGCCAAGTGTAACTAAAATAATAATGACATACAGAATAACTGTAGTTATCATGGGCGAGTCACGTTAATAGCATTGTTCTAAATCGATACATCTTTATAGAGTTTTCCTGAATAATCATGACATGATTTCGATGCTGGTGGTGTGATTTGCCTATTTCTGCCCAGGTAGGTTGTTTTCCTAAAGAATTGTAATGAAGATGAATTATATTATCCAAGACAAGAAAAATATAGTCACGTGTAGCGATGGTCTTGCTTTCTGGACATACTTTATATCCTCTGTACGCTTCAGCTAGCCACTTTTTTTGAAAAAAGCAAAATATTTATCCTTATCTTTATTTTTCAATTCCCTGCGCAATCAGAAAAGTGTTTTTCTTATAATAACTTAAGATTCAACGCGCGATGTTTGTGCAGAGTTTTACAGCAGACGTCTGTTTTCCCCTTCGTCTGCTTAAGAAGGAACGTTTCTCTGTGCTCACCTTGAATCTGCGTTTTAGACATGTACCAACCTGTTAATTGAACATAAGTGTGATGTGGAAACTTGAAGCCTCCTTGTAAAAGCACAACGAATGGACTGCTCAGTGAAGCAGGAGACATTTTGTGTCCGGTAGTTCAACATAACTTGATTCCAAGCAGTATTATTATGTCTTAAAACATGTTGGGGGTCTTTTGAAAAGCTATTAAAGTCATCAGTAGGTTTTTGTGGGCATTTGTTGCTGAGGAGTTTATGAGCTTAATGGAGGTCCTAATACAATACTATTCCAATGATAAATACAAGATCGACGCGACGATGCCTTTTGACACGGAATGCAGACAAATGAGTTTCACTGGGCTTGCCAAGGTAATTCTGCCAAGTCTATCCTCCACCCTCTTTCAAACTTAAATCACATTCATTCTCCAACACACCCACACACACAAAGTGTCGTTGTCTGGGCCTGTGTGCGTTTACATGTTGAGGGGGGGGGGGTGAAAGGTCTGAGAGGTGAGGGGTTTAAAGAGATCAACTCACCCCTTCCTCTTCTCTGTGAGGGTTCAGCTTGTTGTACACGGCCTCGATCACACTGCGTCTGTAAACACACAAACAGCACACAGCTCGCTGCTTAGAGGAGAGGACAACTCCCAACGTAATACAAACAGTCTCTGTTCATTCTTTGCAAATGTGTATTGATTCACTCTTTAATGGAACTAAAAAAGCAGCTGAGTCGATACTTGAGCATCCGCTATTCATGTATAAATAGACCTACAGGATCTCTTCATACATCTTTACAGGTAAGTGTTTTGAGGAGGAGATCAACAGAGCTAAACCCACATATGCTCTGTCTGACAGAATGTAGGACAATGGAAAGTAAACAATACTTCACAATAATTTTGGCTTGAAAAGTGACATTAACGACTTTTTGGGAATCAACTAATTGTTTCAGCTCTATGTGTAGACTTAAAAAATAATCAGACAATCGGTAAACAAAGTGATGGATCAATAAGATCATAACATTTAAATAAATTCAGGTTTGTCGATTTTTTTGACACTTTTTAGATAAAATGATTAAATAGGAATAAAGTGAATTCATTGATAATGAAAGTATTTTTGTTTACAGCTTTGTTATTGTATAATCTATTTCCTGTCTGTCATGTCCCTTTTTAAAGCGCTTTGTAACCATGTTCAAATTGCTATACAAATGAAGTGTTTGTTACTCCTGACACAGGATTTCTGTGTAAATAAGGGTGCAATATCTTGAAGATAGATGTTTGTGAAAGTATCTGTCACAAAACAATGGATGTCGACAGTCCAATAACATTTGAACATGTTCTGTGAGTAAGATGTAGTTTAATGCAGTTCCAGGCTGTGTATTTACTTGCTGGCCAGGCCTCCGCCAGGTGGAAGGTTAGGGATGTTCTCCGAGGCAATGCTCCTCAGGACAGACACCAGGTCAGGGACTCCAGCCTCTCCACAGTTCCCCAGGAGCTCTGCACACAAACACAAAGGGCACCAGGGGTTTGCGAGAGGTTATGTTGTAGGTGATAAAACACTACCTTTGTCAGAGAACTCCTCCATGGTGCTGGAAAAAACACAGTGTGTGTGTGTGTGACTGATTTAAAATATTTGTTATGCTACCTAAAGAATGTTCATTTTGCCCAGGTCAAGCACATCACTTTTTTTTAAAAATATTTTTTGAAGAAGGCAACGAAAGACTGCTGGGCCCAGAAAACAATGTGGGCATTTAACTACAACTCCAACAATTTATAATAATTTACCACAAATACAGCACATAAGTCCGTATAAAGATAAACATGACTGAAATATTCCTTAACAGTGCCAAAAGAATATGATCAATTACCAAGACCATAGCGTTTTTCTAAATCTTTCTGACTAATTTGTAACTGTACCCTACAGAATATTATGAATAATGCATGTTTGTGAGTGAGCATGAGGTGTGTGTGCTGACCCTCAACACGGGTCTCCAGGTACTTATCCAACTCCTCTTCTTTCTTCAAAGCCTCCTCTGAGATCTTGGGAGCTCCGGGTAAAGACACCAGCACCACACTCATATTGTCCCTGCTCCCCTGCGGCACGAAGAGAGGACGAGAAAGAACAAAAGAGGATATAGTAATCTGTCCACAAATTAAATTGTATTTTGTTATTTATACAGAGATTTTTTTTTATTTGTTAATACCAACATTCTGTTTATTTTTTGTGGCTTTCTGGCCCAACAGATACCGTGGTGCTAACGTAAGCTGCCAGGTTGCTCGCACTCACAAGCTGAGGTCATGTTCGGGTTGTGATTGGCCCGTGCAGTTGAGTGGGCGGAACCTCAATATTGTTGCTCCAGCCCCTCAATCACTACTGCGACAACTTTGCCTCCAAAAGATGTCAAAAGATGTCAGCTTCCATATGCTTCCTGGGATATTTTGGCTTCACTTTTGTACAGTGGGTAGGAGAGTAGAGGTGTCATCTATTTGTATGTTTATAACCGTTAAAGTCAACTGGGCAGTCCCAATGTTCCTAATTTTTCTTCCTTTTGTTTTGTTTTAAAAATAAATAATAAAATAAAATAAATGCTAGGCAACAAGCCAGTAGTGTCGTTTCTCATAGAAACAGGAGAAGAAAAAAACTAATAGTGTAAACATCCTGCTGAAAGAAGTTTAGACATGGTGTTTTTATATCTACAGAGTAACGTGTCCAGTACAGACCATTAGGGGTGGTGAAAGCATTTATATTAAAATATCTGTTAGTAGTCCGCTCATAATTCTTCCCCTGAGTATTAATAAATGGTTTGGAATGTCAAAAATGTTTGAGCACAGTATTGAAGTGAAATGGCCAAAGTTGTGACAACACTATAGAGTGGCGAAGTCCCTCCCCTTCCGGTGGACCTCCATGGGATCTTATTTCGGAAAAATTATGTATTGAAGTCAATGGAGAGAGAAAGATTATCTTTCTATCCCGTTTGAATTGTGCCACGAATTACACATATGATGTTTGTCAATTTAAAAGATAATTTTGCAAGTCAAAAAAAAAAAAAGTTTCGTAAAACTGTGAAGTAAGTAACACATTTGTTTGTGTGAAACGCTCAATGAACTACATCTCTGGTCTCACAGCATACTAGCAACAACACACGTCACCAAGATGGCCGTCACTACTGTCTTGCTAAACAAGGGATTAGATACCCTCACTATCACCACAATGAAACACGTCCAGAAGAATGTCATGCAAAGCTGCCTGCCTTCCTTTGATTCTCTCTGAACTGCCTGATCTTTTTCATGTTTAATGTCAACCATTTGTGCAGATAGCATGAAGTACAAAAGATCGCCGATGCTAATGTAGCGTTAGCATTTCTCCCCCGGGCTTAAATGGTGTATTATAGAATGATCACACACCGGTGTGACAGTACTCTTCAAAGGGTTCACGAAATATGACTACTACTCTTACTGTTTAACATTTTGGGTTACTTAACGTTACTTCATGTTAAGGCCCTGACACACCTACCCGATTTTGTGAGTCAGAGGCCGTCAGAGGCAGTCGGGCATTCGCGGCGCCCTACTCAGGTTGGTGTGTCCTGCACCGTCGTTGCTTTACGCCACATTTTCACACCTCCCGCGGCCGATTCAAATCGGCCAAAGAAAGTCGGCAAAAGAAATCACTCTGATTGGCTGTTGCCTCTTTTGAATCACGAATACACACTACCGCTGCCTGCTGGTAAGGACAGTTATTGCCACTCGCCGACTGAAGTCTTTGCGGTGTGTTCGTAGGCGGGCGGCGTAGCCGACGCAGGCGGAATAGCGGACGTACATGTCGGGACGCGTTCTTTGGTCTCAGGTTGGTGTGTAGCGGCCTTTAAGGCAAATACAAATGACAAGGCTGAGGCTGTAATGCTAACTAACGTGCTTGCTACTAGCTAGGTAGCTAACTTGATCCAGCCTCCTGGTCCTTTCATCAGACGGGAAGCGAAAGAACGAGCAAGACCCATTGCTGGTATCATAACAACCTGGTACTAAGCACACAGGCATCTTGTTAAAGTTATCTTATCTTAGCCAGCGCCATATAGATTAGGGTGACCAGACGTCCCCGTTTTCCGGGGACAGTCCCCGTTTGTATTGCCCTGTCCCCGGTTGAAACTGTCCCCGGAAATGTCCCCGTTTTTTAATATATGTTAAAAACACATAGCAACGTGAAATAAAACGTTTCATGTCAGGAAACACT